GATGGGATTAGGTCCTGGGGGTGGAGCCCTCACGATGAGATTTGTGCCCTTATAAAGGAGGTCTGAGAGCCCAGCTGCTTCACTCTCTTCTCGGTCCGCTCCACCTCCCAGCAGCTCCTCTGCGCTCCTGGCCTCCTCCCCTTCCCTGCTCTCTTGTGGGTCCCGCACTGTGCTCCCCTCTGCATTTCTCCTCAGGGTCCCGAGGACCAGCAACCCTCTGCTTCCGTCGTCATAGTGGTTACGTCTTCTCTGCGCTGGAAGGAGAACCCGCGAACACTTTCGGAATTATGGCGGCGGTGGATATCCGAGATAATCTACTGGGAATCTCTTGGGTTGACAGTAAATGGATCCCCATTTTGAACGGTGGAAATGTCCTAGATTACTTTTCAGAAAGAAGTAACTACAATAGATGGTTAACGAGGCTTCCCTTAAAATACGCAAAAGAAGATGTGATTAGGATCTGTGGATTAAAAAAGTAAGTAAGTTTGATGTCTGTATAATCAGTGGAACTGTGTGTAATATGCATATTGTTCCTTTGAGTTATGAGTTAAATAAATGAATAAAGCAAGACTAGTTTTGATAAAGTGTAGAACCCACAGATGAAGCACTGTCAGATGTTAATTATTCTCTGCCTGCCTCTTATTGCACAGATATATACTTTCAAACAGATATGCAGCACTGTACTAAAAAAAGATTTTCATTCATTTTAGGAGTATTCCATTTCACCAATATCACTTTTATAATCTTAAAAAATGAGCCCCAATGGATATGTAGCTTATATATCGGGGGTAAGGCACCTTTACATTATTTGGTTCAACAAATAACTCTCTTAATATCTAGGAGAATTGCTCCATTTTCCAGAGGCAACGTGTGGATGCTTTACTCCTAGACCTCAGACAAAAATTTCCACCCAAATTTGTGCAGCAAAAGTCTGGAGAAAAGCCTGTCCCAGTGGATCAGACAAAGAAAGAGGCACAACCTACAGCAGAAACTGTGAAGTGTGATGAGAAGGAGACCACAAAGAACATCCGACAGACAGGTCCCTCTGCAAAACGCATGAGACTTCAGTGAGTATTGGACAAGAGTATTGGACAAGAGAAGCTTGTAAGACTTCTTGTCCATGATTACACCTCATACTGTGACAGGCTCCTGAACTTTGAAATTCTTTGTCACAACTATCATTTGTATAGAATGCGCCTGCTCTTTATGCTCTTGAAGAAATCCAGAGACACAGCTGTAAAGACCTAGCAAGATGTATGGCTGCCAGTGTCTTTGCCACCGCCTCCTGCCTCTGCTTATTTATTGCTGTGAAACTAAATGGACAGAGCTTCAAATACTCCTCACTCTCCAATTCTGAGGCTCAACAGACTGAAAAGAGAGCAGCACAGTGTGTTCCTGGGCCATTTTCTTTTCTTTGGACTACTATTTGGGGTAGTCGTCCTGAACCTCAATGAGGGTCAGGGTCGGTTTGAAGTCAATGCGGCGGAGCTTCCTGAAGAAATGGACATCTCCACATACATGGAGCCGGGACGCTAACCACACACCTGACATCCCGGAGCCGCCCTGCTTCCCACGTGCTGCTTCAACTCACTCCTCTTTCTAGGCGACAGCGGGGCTTTCTTTTTCTGTTCAAACGCTGTACATTTGTGTCACAATAAATTTGTATTATGGAAAAATAAATGAAGATATGGGCTTGTATTTTGCTTCTTCCCCCCATTTTTCAAGTCAGTCTGATGTGGCTTTTTCCTAAGTAACCTGTCACTGTATTGATTATATTCTGACTTAGCAATGTGGCCTTGGAATGCTAAGCAAATATGGATGTACTGGTTGTAAATGTTTATATATTGTACAGTACCTTTATATATACACCTGAGGTTCTGATTAGAGAAAGAGATCTGTAAATGGCTCGCTATTTTTTATATAGATATTAAAAAAATCAAAAACCAAAAAATAAAAAATAAAAAAGAAGAAAAGAACTCCCAACAAACAAAAGTCCTGGACCAATGGCTTCACAGGGGAATTTTACCAAATATTCAAATAAGAACTAGCACCTATCCTTCTCAAATTATTCCAAGAAATTCAAGGAAGACTCCCAATTTCATTTTACAAGATCAACATTATACTAATTCCAAAACTAGATAAAGACACTACAAAGAAAGAAAATTATAGGCCAATATCCCTGATGAACATAGATGCTAAAATGTTCAAATGTTCAACAACAAATTAGCAAACCAGATCCAGCAATACATTTAAAAAATCATACACCATGATCAAGTGGGATTTATTCCTGGGATGCAAGGTTTGTACAATATCTGCAACTCACTAAATGTGAAGCACCACATAAATAAAATGAGGATAAAAACCACACGATCATATTAATAGATGCAGAAAAATCATTTGATAAAATTCAGCACTCATTTATTATAAAAACTCTCAGCAAACTGGGAATAGTGGGAACATAACACAATAAAGGCCACTTATGACAAACCCACAACCAACATCATACTCAATGGGCAAAAACTATGAGTTTTTCCCTTAAGATTGGGAATAAGGCAGGGTTGTCTGCTTTTACCATTCTATTTAACATAGTACTGGATGTCTTAGTTACAGCAATAAGGCAAGAAGAAAAAATAAAAGGCATCCAAATTGGAAAGGAAGAAGTAAAACTGTCATTATTTTCAGATGACATGATACTGTTTGTAGAGAACCCTAAAGATTCCACCAACAAACAACTAGAACTGATAAGTGAATTTTAAGTGCCAGGCGGGTAGTTAAGCTACATAATCTTTACTCCCTGGAATGGAGATAAGAAACGCCCTAACCTTTGTAATAGAAATTGACAGGATTAAAATCGGCTGGTATAAATATAGATGTAACAAGACAATAAAGATCAGTTCCTAATCAGATCCTAACCAGAACTTCGCTGGAGATCCCGACCAGAACTTCGGCTGGAGATCCTGGCTAGAGATCCTGGCTAGGCTGCTGATCAACTGAACGCTGTCTCCGTGTCATTCTTTCTTCGCTGACTCCGTCCACACCTTTGGGGACCCCTGGACCTGCTGGGGTTGGACCCCAACAAGTATGATGGTGGAACAGGATGTGGAAAACGAGCTTCTGGATTATGAGGAAGATGCAGAGCCCCAGGCTCCTACAGAGAGCGCCCCAAGACCCCCCAAGAAAGATGTCAAGGGGTCCTATGTTTCCATCCACAGCTCTGGCTTCCGGGACTTTCTGCTGAAGCCTGAGCTCCTGAGGGCCGTAGGGGACTGTGGCTTTGAGCATCCATCTGAGGTGCAGCACCAGTGTAT